GGGTTGCCAATTTTCTTGCCCATTTCCTTCCTGCTATAATAAGGGGTAGGGACCTGTGCCTGCCTAGCTTGTATGGTTGTGCAGCACAGAGGTATTCCTGATGTGGCAAAGTTTCCAGGAGTGGGCAGGAGGATTCTGGTGCCCTTGCACTGATGGTACTGAAGGCTGGTAACCTGCTTCTCTGCCCCAGTTTTCCTACTTCATTTATCAGCTACACTCCTAAGTCTTTTCCCCATATGCTGTATAGAGATTGGAGACTGGGTAGACTTTCAAATAAGGACCAGAAGGCCATAATTTTAAAGGTCCAGAGTTCCAGTAAAACCTACGTTCTGAGCTCCCAGTGTTTGAGTGGAGCTGTAGATGTCTGTATCCTAGGCATCTTGACTCAAAATTCTGGTACAGAAACAACCTAAGACACCCATGGGTATAGTAAGCATTCATATATATCATATAAATAGAATTCACCATTTGCCAAAGATGATAGCTTCTGATATTAGAGGCACTTCTCCCACTGATAGAAGGGTGCCTGCTAAGTCAGGTGGAAACAGTCTGACCATGTCTGCCAGCACCTCATCAAGCTGTCCTGCCTTGTCACTGGCCTTCTTCACTTGGCCACTCTCTAGCCGTTAGCAACTCCTTAAGGCTGACTGCAGTGCTTTGAAATTGAGGGGACCTACTCAGTTTCTAGGGGGCTGGCCACTACCTTGACCAGTACAGGCATTTGGCTTCTGGCTGACAGTTGCACCTTTGTAGTGAATTAGGGCTGAGTATCCCCATGTTTGCGGGATACATAAATGCACTCTACAGTTGTTAGCTGGGAGGGTTCCGTGAGCCACCAATAGAGAAATGTCTAGCAAGAACCAGAGTTCATGAGGCCTGTGATGTGGCCATTCCCTGCTGATATGGGGAGTACGTAAGCCCAATGTTTGGGGGTCTCTATAGATACCTGAGAGACCCCAGGCTGGATGTAATTGCCATCCATAAGGGAGCAATCATGGTGCCAGTGACCAGACCGGCTACACAGAAAAGAGATTTGCCACAACCCAAAGTTGTGGTTTTTTGTTTGTGTGCGCTTCGGCACCGCTAAATTATGTTCCCGCTAAATTGCAGCTCCTTTGCACGGTGGAGTTTTCTGCTGCAACAGGAGAACCCGCATGCAGAAGAGTATTTCCCGCCAATTTGTAGCCTTCTTTGCATGGTGCATTTCTTTTGCATTCTGGAGATGCACGATGCAAAGATTCTGGAGATGCACGATGCAAAGGAGTTCCGGCTTTTTGTAGTCAATTGCGAGCCACATTATTGGCCGATCCTAATATAGGCACACGTGGCGGCTAGCGATTGGCTTGCTAGCCGTATAAAGAGCTTGGGTAGTTTCCACCCAAGTTGGAGAGGGAGAGAGAAAGCAAATTGGAGTTCGGGGGAAAGAGCGTGAAGATCTCTAAGCGCTGCTGATTTCTTTGAACCCAGCTCTTCCTGTAAGAAGGCAATAGAGGCTTAATTACTGAACCGAACCCACGAATCCTTAACAACTCCGGGGACCCAATTACCGAACGGCCTCTAGCCTCTCCCCATCACCAATCACAATCCTAGACATATCCCTTTCCTTTTGAAACTACCAAACCCGTGGAGCTTCAACCACTCCGGGGCCGATTACCGAGCTGAACCCGCGGAGCTTCAATAACTCTGGGGTCAATTGTCGTAGTCCTCCAACGAGGATTTAAGCGGAGCTGAACCTGGAAAACTGTCCAGCCTACACCATGACCATCTTTGGTGTTAGTAAACAATCTTTTAATCAACAATTACATGTCCGTGCCTAATTCCAGATCCCACGGGTCTCTCTCCGACCCCGCGTGCCCGGGCCGCTGGCCACAGTCCGCATGCGCAAAAACGGGTCCGCATACCGCTCCCGGCCCGCTCATGACGACATGGATGGGTTCGGGAGGCGGCCCGCACAAGATTGAGTTTGCTGCCATCACTATCATGCCATGTGTATCTGCCATTTCAAAGCCCTAGGTCTGCCTCTGGAGATCATTAATCCATTCCAAGAATCTGAAGCATACTTTCCAGTCAATTATGCATCTTGCAAAAAGAATGTGTTGCCTTCTGTGTGCCCCCTTCTTTTACTTTTTCCTTGTTCCCCCTAAGGAAGGTGTCATAGGTTTATTCCCTGATTGTCCCACTTTATATAACAAATAGCTTTATATGACAAATAGCTTTATAGAACAAATAGCTTCCTCAGAATCTCTTCCCCATCCACCACATAAGGATTGGAGACTGGGTAGACTTTTTAAAGGACCATTAGGCCAGAATTATAATGGTCCAGAGATTTAGAGAAATTTCTACTTTGAGCTCCCAGTGTTTGAAAGGAGATTTAGATACTTATATACTAGACGCTCTTAGTAAAAAGTCTAGTACAGAAGCTGCTTATTTCACCTATGAGTAACACTGAGCAGATGTGTTAAGGCATTGCTTAGTCTAGAGCTTTCTATCTGGGGTCACTGGCTACTATCTAGCCACCACTCTCCCCATCACTGAAACTGGAACTAGCAGCTACAGTCTCTGGGCTCCCCTTCCCTTCTCAGGCTTTTGATGCTTTCTTGTAACTCCTTGGGTTATGGACAGGCAACAGAGGGTGGTTTTGCATTTCAGTGATTGGATATGGGGGTCACAGTGGACTGGAGCGGTGGGATGTGAATGCAAAGTTCAGTGGCAGGGTGGGGTTCCTAGCTGTTTGTGAATGCAAAGTTCAGTGGCAGGGTGGGGGTCCTAGCTGATCTGTTCTTACGGGGCTCATAAGTCCCCTAGTGCAGCCCCACTTTTGAAGCCTGTAGGGCAGTTGACCCCTCCTCAAATTAAAAAGTTGGATTGACTCTCATAGTTGGCATCAGGCTACAATACCAGTTGAGTCCACTTATCATTTTTTCCTCCCCACTGCAACATGTTTACAACTGAACTTCATTTCATGTTTTTGCAAAGATTTTGTAATACATCCCAGTGAGACAAATTAAAATGAAAACCTGTTCCGTATTAGCTGATCAACTAATCATAATTTTGAAGGGCTAAATTAATGCAATACATGTCTCCACATAACTAACAGAGATAAGAGGCCCCTGTTTACCTAACTGTCCTCATGGGAGCACATTTGAGTGCTTATGCAACATTTAGGAATGGTTCTAACATTTACAAATTCTACCATTTAGTAAGAGTTCTAACTTTCCAGGCATGTTTAAAGATATTAGCCCTCTCCTATAAAGGATACTATGACAATATCATACAGAGCATTCAATTAGGGTGGTGTTACTAGTTATCTTTAACCTATTAAAATCTCTGGCATGTTAGGCAGTATTACGTAGAACAGTTGTGAGGCATTCATTAGTTAAGGCTACATACCATTTCTGGCTTGCACAATGTGACTTGCCACTAGAGGGTCTGGTGAGAAGATGTGTGGTCAGGGGACAGGACTAAATCCCATCTGTGGTAGTGGAGTGGCAAAGTTCAACTATCATGAGAGCATGGAGCCAGGAAAGCATGTGTCCTTGAGCTCCATGTTCTCACTACACTTTGAGCTAGGCAGCTGTTTTTTCCAGAAGTGTGAAATGCTGGATAGGGTAGCCATGCCCCCACTACCCAAAAAATTCTCCTGGCTAGGGATGAGCCATGTTGATGTAGGTCAAAGGCACAGCACCCTCAGGGGGAGGCCCATGCGCCTGATCTCCAGCCTAACATACTGTATCCGATCTCCTGAGGTATTGGGAGTCAGGAGCATGATGCCATGTGAGCTAGGGTGATACATATTGAAGGTAGGTGGAAGTTCTAGTTTGGGGCTGGTACCATCCCCTTGGTCACTGGAGCTTGGGATGGTTGAAAGACGTGCAGGTGTAGAAGGGTTGGGAGCTGTATATCCTGTGGTGCTGGATGA